AGTCTCAAGGTACCTAGCACTAGGAGTTTTCGGTGGACGGAGCAGAAGGAGGAGGAGGGGGAAGGGAGCGTTCTCATCCGCAAAGGAGTCACCTCGTTTATGGCTGTTGGAGGGGGGTGCCTGAGAGTCTGCCGCAGCCGTGAAGGCCTGAGGCGGGGATTTATGGCTGTCAGAGGAGGGGCCTGAGCATCCGCCGCAGCCGTAAAGGCTTAAGGCGGGGATTTATGGCTGTTGGAGGAGGGGCCTGAGGGTCCGCCGCAGCCGTGAACGCCTGAGGCGGGGAGTGTTCCCTCCTCATCCCCGAGCATCAGGGCCTTGCCGGACAATCACGGTCAATGGCACTGCGATAGCTCGGGGAAGAGTGGCCCACTCCGGGGGGAAAACTTACCTAAAGGCCAGAGAGGAGTGGTGAGTGTGATGAGCCAGCGCTGGAAAAAGAGGACGAGGGCAAGCTGCTGCTGGTGTCAGGGGGAAGACGGGGCCCAGTTGGGGTGTCCCGTCTCCTGGGTTTCGGCACCAATGAAAGGAAAGGAGCGACACATAGCAGCAATTCACCGGAGAGTTCCGCTTTATTAGGGAAAGGTGCTGGGTTATATGGGAAGGCGCATAGGGTGATTGTGGTGTTACTTCTATGGGGCTGTTGGCTGTTGGCTAGGTGCTGGGATTGGGAGGGTGGCAAGAGGTGATTGGGCTTCAGGTGGCGCCGGCGGGAGCTGAGGACCCCGAAGAGAAGCCGGAAGTTTGCCATCTTACTGGTGGGGGCCCTTCAATGACCATATTAAATTCTTCCACAAACTTTCTACAACCTTTTTACATGTAGATTTCTCTCTCAAAATAAACAGCTGTACTTTAGAACAAAGTTACTTTCTTTTATCAAAAGACACATTCTTTAGCATGCAGAAATGTTTTCCTTATTACTTTAAGTAGTTTTAATTAGAACTTAAAACTATTAGGTAACTTAATTTTAGTGAACACTGAGAAGTAGGCTATTATAAACTGTTACAGTAGCATTCTTTGGATTGACAAATTTTTGAATATTTTATAATTTCTGTTAACCATGAGCTTTACAACACAATCTCTCACTAATCACAAAGTATATCTTTTTTAACTTTGCAAAATTTTAAGGTTTTAGGTTACTACAAAGATTTCTAGGCTGTAGATAGGTATACACACTGTAACACACAATTAAAAAGATGTTCACTTGCCACACTTATTTAGTTCACTCATTCATAACAACTATGCTAGATTACTTACAAGACCTTTACTGATTAGACAAAGCTAAGCCTTTAAGCATTTTATTCTTTAAAGATTTAGCAGATAACATCAACTTAAATGACCTAAGGTAAACTTAGACAGCTGATAACCACAAGGACATGCCCACCTCAGCTAAACCCAAATTAACATTAATGCTTAACATTTTTAATCAGATTTTCTGGAAGTTTTAGAATGCCCAATTTTCACAAGCACTTGTTTTTAAATCAATTTTTATTAATACCATCCAGAGGTAGGAAAATATTTTTCATCCATACACCTAGACACACAAACATACAAACTGAGACACAACAACTACAGTCAGCAACACTTCTTACACAAAAATATATACACAGACAGACAAACTGATATAAAGACTTGAGTCACTGATATCTAATTGCTTTCTCTTTCCTCAGCTTCCTGTCCGTGGCTTCTGGAACCAGAGGGTGTGAGGAGCATGTCCTGGTGGGGGAAGAGGGCGGTGAAGGCGGAAGGAGATGGGGAAGGGGTGGTGCAGCCACCGAAAGAGGAGAGCAGGACAACGGCATGGTTGAGAATGTAGGACTTTAAGATGGCGGAGACATTTGTGAAGACAAAGGACTTAAAGATGGTGGTGGAGAGAGGGGGAGGGGATTGCAAGCTGAGGGATGTGGGTGACAGAGGTCTTCTGGCAGATCTGAAAAGGAAGAAGGACTGGGCAGAGTAAGAGGCTGACAATCTTTAACTGGAGATCAGGCCAGGAGAACCTGAGTCATTGAACACAACATAAAGGTCTGGGCTGGAGCGCGAAGTCCAAAAAGCCTGCACATGTGGGATTTTGCTCTACTCCCTGCTCCAGTGGCAATAATGAAGTTGATGAGGAGGCCAAAACTGAAAGTTCCCTCAGGGGGCAAGTGAGATTGATTGTCCAAGGGATACTGAGGCCCGGCCTCAGAGCAAAGAAAGACTAGCTTCCGTTTGTCAACATCCTGGGACAAATATAGAGTAGCCAAATTCGAAATCAGACACTGCAATGGGGTCTGAGCCTCTGCTTTTGAGGGCTGGTTCCCCATGTCTGCACCGCTTCTCAACTAATCCTGCTGAGAGGAGTGCCCAGCGTCCAAAGTGTGCCAAGTCAGGGGAGACGGCCTGGGAGCCTGGGTGAGGGACGTCTTCCACACCGCAGGGCCAGGGGTGGGCCGAATGCCTGCAGAGGGCAGGCCAGATGCCCCCACCTGGATATACGTACAATTTCTAATGGACCAGGTGAAATGGAGTTAGGAAGGGAAGCAGACTGGGGAAACTGAGGGACTCACCCAAAAATAGTCCATGCAGTAGAGAGCAGGCTGAGGTCCTGGGTCAGGGAAGGAGGGGACAGGGCCACAGGTGGCCAGTCGGGACCCCATGATCACGCTCCTTCCTGGGTTTCAGCACCAAATGTAAGATAATTTCTAGCCGAAATAAGGAGGAGATGAGAGGCAACAAAGGACCAGGCAGTTTATTTGAGTGCAATTCCTCGGTGATATTCCCCCATCTGGCTATCACAGGCCAGGGAAGTCACACTCAGCAGGGCAGGCAGCAAGTTTTTAAAGAAGGTAAGGGGAGGCCGAGCTTAGATTTACAGCGGTGCGAGGATTGGCTAGCCTAAGGCACATTTTTTCAGGTTGGGAGGGGGCACTAGCCGGGGACTTTGGCACATCATCAGTGTCTGACGTGCTCACCCATCTCCCCAGTGCTTTCAACCTTACAGTAGCTAGTTATTAAACAAGACTACCATGCAGATATAGGATGTAAATTATGTGCCTTTAAATGTGGCAAGTTCATCCAAGCAGAAATAAATAAATAAAAACATAAATAGGGAATACAATTAAGAATATCTGAATATCATATTTGATTGGGCCAGAGATCCATGTGTCTCTTGCCCACTATACCTGTAAGAAAAAAATTTTAAACAGTGGCTCAGAAAGCCATCAAAGATTTCAAGTTATTTTTGAGCCAAGTACAATAACCTTAATGCCAAATAAAACATTCTTCCAGAATAAATGCAAAATAATGTTTTCAAATATGAAAGGGATGAATTTATGGATAAAAAAGATCAAGTTACATTCCTCATTAAAAAATTGGTAAAAGTCATTTTGTTTCAGAAATGTTTGTAGAACTAGCTACAAAATTAATAAATGTTTTACCTAGAAAATGTATAATCAGCTATTGCCAAAAAATTTCTAATCAGATATGACACAGAATCATGCTATACAACATGAAAGGGCAATATCAGCCCTGTACTTAATAACAAATGTTTACCTTATGAGTGGACACCACTGGTGTACATAGAACATTAATCATTTCACACCATGTGAATATATGTTCCATAGGAAAAATGCACAGAAATTTCCTATTTGTTTTATCATTTTTAAAAAAGTTATGAAAGAAGACATTTTCATTTAGAAAATTTTTCATTAAAAAAATACATTGTTACGTAGAAGAAATTCTGAAAGTTATCAGGATTAAAACATGGAGTTGGATCTTTGAGTACAAAACGGATATTATTCCTGCAATAAAGAAAATTTCAGTCTACTTTCTGTTTTATTCAGAGAAAAGTTGGTAGCCAAACAGTAATTCTCCTCTGATTCAACATAGAACAAATTAGTGCAAATTTACATAGTAAAATAGCCACCAGCAAACATAATCTTTAAGACAAAATAGGCAAATATAAGAAGACTGCTTTTTCCACAATGAAGTACAGAGGTCAATGATGAGGGAGATGCTCTCACAAGTTTTTTAATAAAGGCTAGGTTAAAAATCCCTTCTTTATTACACAGATAATTCTACAAAGTCATTTATATATTTTTCAAGCAGGCTTCCTCAAATGGCTGAACTGAGCAATATGTTCATTAGTTTTGTTAACCCTAAATTATTACTTCAAGTTCTAAATGTCATGGTTTTTTATCTAAAGAACAAAGTATCAGGATTTTGTAAGAAAAACAGACTGTTGGATCATGGGAAGATGGCAGCGTGAGTAGTTCAGAGGAAATCTCCCCAAAACATATATATTTATGAAAATGCAATAAATACAACTATTACTAAAAGAGACACCAGTGGACGCAGTACAACAGCCAGGATACATCTACATCTGTGAGAACTCAACATCACACAAAGGGGATAAGATACAAGCCATGGCCAGGTGGGACATGAACGCTCCCCCACTCCAAAACCTGGTGGGAAGAAAGGAGTTGGAATGGGGAGGGAGTGAAAGCCCAGGACTGCTAAACAACCAGATTTAGAAACCTGCACCCGGAATGCAGACACAAGGTGCATGGGGTGCTGGATATTAGAGAAACGGAAAAGCAAAACCTGTGGGCAGGTCCTCGCAACTGGTGCCCCTGAGACAAAAGAAAAATGAGTGCTTTCTGCAAGTCTTAAAGAGACAGGGACCCCATAGCTGGACGAAGTTGTCGTGGTACACATAGCCAGCAGCTGGGAATCAAGAGGAAACTTAGGAGCCCTAAACCCCTGGGAGGCAGTGCAGCTCTGAAGCCCCTCATGGCACTGAGCAGCCTGCCAGTCGTTCCTCCAACTGGTGCAGACCCCTACACACTGGCCCAGTAGCGGGAGAGTGGCAGCATGTGCTGGGAACGGCAACACCGGAAGGGACCGTGAGCAGATCCTTGCGCCAGCGGCACCAGACAGGACCAAGAGATGCTTGTGCAAGCCCGCAGTGGCGAGAACGAACAGCACAGGCGCAGCTCATGTGCACTGGAGGCAGTGAAGCCAGAGGAGGCCAGTAGAGGCCCGCACGGGAGAGCCCCACGTGCACCTGCAACAAAGCCAAAGGGAGCAGGCATGCTCCCAGCAGCCAACTGGAATTCCAGCCCAAAGCACAGCCACCCAAGCCAGCCCCAAAGGCCACTGCTGTCACACACCTGCCCGGCAGGGGTGCTGCTAGCATGGAGGAGTGCACCTGGCATGCCTGCCACTCCCTGCAGGGCTCCATGCTGCTCTGATGGAGACACCACCAACAGCACCTTAGGGGACAAACCCGGTGGCTGCTCCAGGAGTGCAGGTAACTATCACAGGCAACAGAGAAGGGCAAGGCATCAAGCAAGCAGGAAAGGACTTTCCTATCCCAGCTGACACACCCACAACCTGACTACAGCCACCGCTATCACCATGAAAAGGCAAAATAATTTAGTCAAGTACAAGATAGTTCAAACAACACCTGAGAAAGGATCTGCAGAGTCAGACATAACCAGTCTCCCTGAAAAAGAATTCAAAATAAAAATCATAAACATGCTGACAGAGCTGCAGAGAAATATGCAAGAGCGAAGGGATGAAGTCCAGAGGGAGATTACAGATGTCTGGAGAGAGATTAAACACATGCGGAGGGAGACTACAAAAGTGAAATAAACTCTGGAAGGATTTATAAGCAGAATGGATAAGGTGCAAGAGGCCATTGATGGAATAGAAACCAGAGAACAGGAATGCATAGAATCTGATGCAGAGAGAGATAAAAGTAACTCCAGGAATAAAACAATATTAAGAGAACTGTGTGACCAATCCAAAAGGAACAATATCCGCATTATACGGGTACCAGAGGAATAAGAGAGAGAAAAAGAGATAGAAAGTGTCTTTGAAGAAATAATTGCTGAGAACTTCCCCAAACTGGGGAAGGAAGTAGATCCTCAGACTACAGAGGAACACAGAAATCCTGAGAGATGGGACCCAAAGAGGACAACACCAAGACACATAATAATTAAAATAGCAAAGATCAAGGAAAAAGGCAGGGTATTAAATAGAGCCAAAGAGAGAAAAAAGGCCACCTACAAAGGAAAACCCATCAGGCTATGATCAAACTTCTCAACAGAAACCTTACAGGCCAGAAGAGAATTCCATGATATACTGAATGCAATGAAACAGAAGGGCCTTGAACCAAGGATACTGTATACAGCAAGATTATCATTTTAATATGAAGGAGGGATTAAACAATTCCCAGACAAGCAAAAGTTGAGGGAATTTGCCTCCCACAAACCACGTATATAGGGTATCTTAGATGGACTGCTCTAGATGGGAGCACTCCTAAAAAGAGCACAGAACAAAACACCCAACATATGAAGATTGGAGGAGGAGGAAAAAGAAGCAAAAGAAATAATCATCAGACTGTGTTTATAACAGCTCAATAAGTGAGTTAAGTCACACAGTAAGGTAGTAAGCAAGCTAACCATGAACATTTGGTAACCACGAATCTAAAGCCTGCAATGGCAATACGTACATATCTTTCAATTATCACCCTAAATGTAAATGGATGGAATGCACCAATCAAAAGACACAGAGTAATACAATGGATAAAAAATCAAGACCCATCTATATGCTGCTTACAAGAGACTCACCTCAAACCCAAAGACATGCACAGATTAAAAGTCAAGGAATAGAGAAAGATATTCCATGCAAACAACAGAGAGAAAAAAGCAGGCATTGCAATACTACTATCAGACAAAA